AATACACATTTCTAGAAATAAAAGACACCCCCCGACGCCCCCTTAGCGCGGCACACGGACACGTCGTACCTCCCTTGAAAAAGGCACACCATATTCTTTGTCTGGGCCTCGCTCTCCCTATTCGTTTCTTAAACCGCGACCACGTCCAGGTCTTTATAAATAAGCGATTGACCCGGAATTGACGACGTTTGGCACAGAAGCCTGGCACGTCTAACGTGCCCACACGTAGTGATCGTTCCAGGTTCAGCAACGATTAAGTGGGAGGCTAGACAAAAGACAAGGTAGGCTCGCAGAAAAAAAATTAAACCGCACGCGCACTAGAAAGCAAACGCTAACAAAAAGGAACCGTACATTCGCAATATCGTAGGAACCGAGTCCACTCACAGAGTCTTGCCTCCGGCAATCATCCACCAGGATACGCGGCTTCACCGCGACCCGATTTTTCTTCGATCCGAGCGGTCCAAGCGTACGCCACGCTTGGTTGGCCGCATCGCCAGTACCATCAGGCGTTGCCGCTGGCTCCCTCGGTCGCTCTACCGTTTGGCCGACGTTCATTTTGGAGTCCTGTTCGTCTTCCGCTCCTGCGACTCTGCTCTTAAGGCCCATACGCACATTCGCGTTTGAGCGCGGTGCGTTTCATAGCGGCAAGCGGGCGCGTTGCGTTGCGAAGACTCCTTGCGCCAAACTTGTACGCACAGTTGCGTTGACACGCAGTCAACCGCAGTCAAGAGCCAATAAGAACGCGCTATCGTCGCTAGGGGCTCACCAATAGTAAGCGAAATCCAAGGCAACATGGCGGCGCACGGCGACAGCGTCGAAGTGTTCGATCTTGGGAGAATCTCGCCGGCTTCCCCGACGTTTTGTCAAGCTTGAACCATCGCAACCTTGGAAAATACAGTCCCATACTCCCCACCGCTCCCCAAAAAGAAAAAGCAAGCACTGCGACCGGCAAACCGGATCCGTCTCGGCGAGTCGGCCGGGTGGGGCGAGTGAACACGTCACCCCCTCTTCTCTTTCGGCTTCTGATTGGTCGAACGCACCCGAACGCACCGCAACGCTTCGGAAAGTTGAGCGAGTCTCTACTCGCTTGCGTCGCGCTACCGAGCGTTGCGGGAAGGAGCGCGTCGCTCCGCAAGCGACCGCGCCTGGCCGCAAGGACTCCGCAACGCACTCAAACGCGTTCAAACGCGAATGTGCGTATGGAACTTTACCGCCAGGATGGCTGTTCGCCGCTGCAGAATGTCTGCCGGCGGAAAGCGCTTTCACCTCGGACAGGTGCCCCTTGGCTTTGATGCGGGGTGCGTCTTGACCTCATGTCGTCACCTCAAAGCCGCGCGCTTGTGGCGCTACATCCTGTTGCCGCCGCCCATGGGTTCGAGTGGCCCACCTTGTTCCATCGGCAGCAAGTCGGTTGGTGGATGCACTCCTACGGCTTCCTCTACCTCGATGTCATCGATCAGGTAGTCGAAGTTATCCTCCAACTTACGGTCTCAGGCCATCGAGGCGTACGTCTTGATGCATTCTTCTGCCTCATGACCGTAGGCGGCAGTCGCAGCAGCGGGGGACGCGGCAGTCCCAATGAATGTGTTCCGTACGACGGCAGCGAAGGCAGGGCGGAGCGCGTCCGGGCACCACGACAAGGACCTTACAGCCTTTCACGCGCATCTGGGGAAGGGGGGGAGGCGGTCGACGGTGTAGCCTTTCCTGAAGATGAGGCGTAAACTGCGGGTGTTAAACCCGACAGCCTAAAACCCCTTCTCCCGGAAGAAATCCCTAATGATCTCAGATACCTTGCCGTAGCACTCCAACTCCTTAACCTGACCGTTGGGAACCGTCGTGCGGTACCCAGTGGAGCTTGAGCTTCACCGCCGTGTTCGCCGGGTCGATGATGAGGCAACTCTCCCACCCCCTTTAATGGTCAGCCTCTTCGCGTCTGCCAACCTTTGCTTCGCCGCTTGCGAGTGCAGCTTCAGCATACAAACGTGGTTCATCTGATGTGGACCGGCTGAGGCAAGGTCTTTTAGCACTTGCAACCGCTACAGCTTGTCACGGATGTCTCGCACGCGATACGGTCCTCCTTTCACATCACAGTGTAAAAATACAGCGTTCGTCGCAACATATCCAGTGGGCAGTTAGGGTAGTCTTCAGAGTTATCAAAGACAGACATACCACGGCCTGATGCGGCCGCTTTTACCGCTCCGTCGGAGCTCATGACACACACATCCGTACTCGGTGGCAGTGTTGCAGAATGGGCACCCCCATTCCATTCCAATTCCATTCCGGGGAATTAGAGTTTTCGATAATTCGATTCCTTTCGATCCCTAGGAATGGAGACACTGAGCCCATTCCCACTTCTGGAATGGCTGAATCGTTCCATTCCATTCCTTTAATTCCTAAACGTAAAAATTGGCACTTGACAACTACATTTTGTTGCCGGCATAAGCAGTATAAAGCTGACATTATCAAATGCAGAGACAATTTTAAAAAAAAAGCTAAATTCCCCAAAAAAGCACTGATTTTTACTAAGCGGATCGCTGGTGGCAGAAAGTGTTTATTTACAATGCACTATAGACATCGAGAAAGCCCCTTGATATGTCGATGCTTGTTTAAGGCATCGGTCTCGCGACCACGTGGCTCGCAACAAACAGCACAACTTAAATCCACTCATTTTCTTTTCTTTTCTTTGACTTTTTTTTTGCATTTGACTTTTACGACATACGCGACCAGCGTGTTTGTTTGATAAGACCTTAAACATATCCAGTTCGTGCGTGGCGCAGGAATAAGCTATATTACTGTATTCTTCAAATACAGCAACACGGCTAGTACACTGCTGGAAGCGACTCCATGCACAGCGGCAAGAACACATCCTCTGATAAAGTGCAACCTCTGCGGCGCAGCACGAGGGACAGTATAGAATGTCAGGAAACCTGTTTTAAAACGCATAAGTTCACGCTTGCTTTACGAATCTCGATATTTATTATCATATTCAATTTTTGGCTGGTCCGCCTGCCCTTTTCCGCCCTTCGCATACTCATTCTCGTGTTTCCTCTTCAGATGGCGAATAAAGTTCGATGATATATGCCGATTGCACCGTTTATAGTTTCGTTGCACAACTTTCAGCGTGAAGCTTGCTTATTTTCTTCGCGACTAATGTAGAAAGATGTCTTTTACGATGCCATGACTCGATCTAAATTATCTTGTCTCCTCATCCGAATTGTGATGTTCCTCTTCGCGCTGATCGAGTGGCGGGTTCAGGCAGCAGACGGTACCAACCGATTCGTTCTTCTACCTCGCTGTCGGTTGTTCGCGTTGTGGCGACTGGTCGGGCAGTCAGCGTTGACAAAGCTCTTCACATCAAGATACAACTAACGGGGCAATACCGCACCGTTCGAATTGACATTCCCCGTGTTTCTTCAGCAACACCGTCCAACTGACTTCTCACCGCCTCAAATAGGGTCCAGGACAAGGAGCACGAATGCAGACCGGACAGCCGAGACGCGCGGAAGCCAAAACCTCAGTGGCAGCTATCACCCAGCTCTCCTTCTCCGTTGCCCTCACAGCAACGGTTGCGCCTCGTCTGGCGCGGGACGATCTTTCTGCAGGTCTAGTCAGTTCGGTCACACCAAGAGCGGTGACGATAGTCTACTTCACCATACGATGGGCCGCAAAAGACAGCACGAGAGCCTTCGAAACCAATCCACTGCCTTCTGAGTGTCGCGTGACCCTGCAGTCCCGCTCACGGTGCTGGATTTCCTAGGGCGACTCGTAGCGTCCGCAGCGGTCCATCGCAAGGTGAAACGAAGTATGCACATACTGTAAAGTCAAAGAAAATGAGCGGGAATCCCCTAGCTTACTTGTAACCCCAACCCACTAAAACATATAACACAGAAAGCAAGCATCGGAACAAAGACCAAGTAATAGGCAGAGTTACACTACAAATGCAGTATAAAAAAAACAAGCCTCGGGGCAAAGCGCAAGAGGAGAAGAGGGAAGTGAATCTCGCTTTGTTTTAATGCCGAAGCAAACCTACATTTCGCACTTCAAAGGAGTGCGCACGAATGAACGTGGAAGGCAGCAGGATTGGCTGCCTGCTAAACAACGCGCCTCGAACTATAAGAAAACAATGCCTGATCATCTTTCGACGGCGCCCGAGTCAACGAGTTGTGAGAGCTCTGCGAGTTATGAGTCGCTTCCACTCCCAGATATCAGTCTGCGCGCGCGCGTGCGTTCTTGAAACCGTCGCAACAACAACAAAAAAGCATGACAAGAAGGACGATGAGGAGTTGTGCATGGCGGTTTCTTTTCCGCTCCCTTTTCTTTTGATTGGTGCTTGGTTTCTTGTTTCGCTCTCGTGTAACGCCATCGAAGCCCGACGCCTGCGCGTTCGTGAAAGGCGCCACGTTACCCCCCTTTCTCCTTTTGCTCTTTGCTTTGACGCTTGTTTTTTGTATTACATTTTTTTTTGGCGTATAAGTCTGTTAGGGCTCCACACGGGCTAGCAGTTTCCCGCCCATTTTATTTCTGAGCTACTGACTCGCTGACTGGCTCGGTTTAGCTGACCGTTAACAGACACAAAAAAAAGAGAGAACTGTGCCCATTCCATTCCCATTCCATTCCGGGCAAAAGGCACCTAATTCCATTCCCATTCCATTCCTCTCAACGTTGCCGCCATTCCATTCCCATTCCATTCCGGGGTCGTGAAAATGCGGAATGATTCCGGAATCATTCCAACTCCGGAGTGGTAACTCCGCATCACTGCTCGGTGGAGGCCGGAAGTAGAATCTCCGCCAAGCACGCGGTGAAATGTAGCAATGTAAACCTACCAGTTTGCTCATATTTAATTGCAGTCTAGCTCGTATAAAGATTTAGATATTCAGGGACGGGCGGAGGTGAGACTGATATGTGAAAATATCAGTAAATACCATCCTCGTTAAGAAGTTATGCACCGTGTTGAATCTTATGATGATGATCATTCCTATTTTTCCCGACTTGATCTGCAGGGATCCTTCAATCCCGAAACGCACACGTACAGCCCGTCGGACGTGGCCAGAGTGATTGAGGAAGCCAGGCACCGGGGCATCCGGGTCCTGGCCGAGTTCGACACTCCCGGTGAGCCCCGCCCTCATCTTGGTCATCTCAGTATCTTTGGGGCATATCACAGAATCCTGTGCACCGAGAACGTGAGAGAGACGAGGAGACGTTAGAACGCCGAGCTCTGATTCGAATGCCTAATGGGTAGGCCTAAAGGCCTCCAGTGCACTCGTCGAACGCTCCATGGAACCTGGAACGCCGGCATCCGGCATTTGGCTTTCGCATTCGAACGCGCTTGACGAATTCAGTGGAGACAAAGGCAGCTATAGCTTTACGGTCTACCCACTAATCATTCTAATAAGCGTTCCAATGTTGCCTCCTCTCCCTCGCTCTCTCGGCGCATACAACTGATCAATCTAATATATAGGGTGTTCTTTTTTATTCTTACACATTTCCTTAACAAAAAAAAACACGTGAAAGCTACACTAATGCGGTTTATGCAGGTTGGTTATACGGCCAGGCGGACATTATGTGGGTGGCTATTCTTTGGGACAAGTCGGCTAATTAATCAAAATTCGTTAATTAACATTTTAATTCCTGGAAATAGATACTTATATGGTTCCAATTAGAAACTTGCTGAGCGCCATCCAAAACCCCTAAATCAGTAATTTTTAAAAGTACTTTGAGCGCGTGAGAAGCGCAGTAGTGCGCTCAAGTTAATACTCGTGGAGCAGGTACACGGCTGGGGTTAGACAAGAGACGGAAAAAGTGCGCCGGCGCCATACCGCTACCGCTAGCCTTGTATCTGCTCCACGAGTGGTTTAGTGCGCTACTACGCTTCTCACGCGCTGAACGTTTTTCTGAAAATGACTGATTTAGGGGTTTTGGATGACGCTCAGCAAGTTTCTTATTGGAAACAGATGTCTATTTCTACTAATTAATAAGTTAATTAACGAATTTTAATTAATTAGCCGACCTGTCCTAAAGATTAGCCACTCATATAATATCCGCCTGGCCGTGTAACCCACCTGCACAAACCGCATTAGTGTAGTTTTCACGTTTTTTTGAACAAATGTGTAAGAATAAAAAAAAGTATATTGTTTAATGGTATTGCGGCGACAGTTCAAATGGCGAAGTAAACATATTTAGAATTATACATGTTTTGCAAATGAAGCGGTGCCTATCACAATTGGTTTTCTCAACAAAAGTTTGATTTTTAATTATATCCACTTATAATTGTAATATACGCAGAATTTGTTTTTTGCATAGATGAATTTATGGTTGTGAGCAACACCTGTCATATCACAAAGTTCAGGGTGTTAGATTATCTACGTAGGCTGCCGTAGGCCAGCAACAATGGACAACGAAGTTCGACCCCCTTTGCCGGATGGGCCTGTTAACACAGAGAGAGATCCCAGGGCCGACAATGCGAAACAGATACCGACAACGAGTGCACGTCATTTTCTTCTGATACTGGGTGCAGTGAGCACTCGTCCAGTCAAACCAATATTTGTACTTCCTCTTCGCTGGATGCGCTTCACGAATCACAATGAGGACCCCTTGTGTGTGGAATCAAATGAGATCTGCGAGAAATTAGAGATTTGATGAACAATGTGAAAAATTAAATGAGCTGACAATTTTTTAGTTTTGCTAATGATCGTACAAATTTGGATAATAAAAGGAGATGGGAACGTCTGATGATTTCTCACCTGCAATGGCCGTATCCGGTATGACTTGCATAAAATAACTACCATTCCCTTAAACCTTTGTAAATATTTCGACAGAAAGATAAAACAGAGCTTCACTTGGCGCCATAGGGGACACTGACCTCCTAAAATCGTATTTTTCAAAGTGCGTGTATAGAATACGTAAATCACAAAATAAAATGTCGCTAAAAAATTATTAGCCCAATACTCACGTCGTGAGACACATTTGAGCGATTCAAAAACATGCTTCGAGGTACGGCTTGAAATAGGAGCCGTTTCCGGATTTGATCTTAACTCAAAATGAGACTCGCAACGTGGATATTGCGGTTGGTTTTTCTTTCGGTGAGTGTGTATTGTGTGTCACGGCATGTTCTCTCATGCACTTACGGAATATTTCATGAGACATACCGTGTTCCTTCAAAAGGTACTCGCGGTATCATTCCAAAGCTGCATCAGACTATCGGAACGTCGTATGTGGACGCATCTGTAAACGACCAGCATGAGAAGGGCGCCTGATGTTCCCGCAGGCCACACGCAGTCGTGGGGTGCGGCGTTTCCTGATCTTCTGACCCCGTGCTACAAGGGCAGCACCCCCAATGGCAAGTTGGGGCCCATGAATCCGATTCTGAACACCACCTACCAGTTCCTGAAGTACTTCTTCGAGGAAGTCGTGGACGTGTTCCCCGACCAGTACCTTCATCTCGGTGGGGACGAAGTGCCCTTCAACTGCTGGTGAGAACCGGTCAAAAAACTAACCGATTGGACGATCTGGGAACAGACTGCAACAGTAAGCATTACAAGTAATCAAATTACTTGTAATCGATTACTTTTTGGAGTAATTTTGTAATCAGTTGATTAATTTTATTAGGCAGTAATCACAAGAGTAATCTCATTACTTTTTGAAGTAATGAAAATTACTTCTAACCGTTACTATTTTTCCACTGGACACCCATCCCCCTCCCCCCCCCCCCCCCCCCCACACACACACACCTTTTTTTTTTCTGAAATGGCAAAAATAAAATTTGCTTTTTTTTTCGAACGGAAAAAAAGAAACTTTGGCGGAGCTGTAGGAAACGAGGTCAACCCCTTTGAATGTACAGTTTCTGTAAAATGTCCGTTTTTTTTCTGTTTTGGGCTAGGACGGGGAGTGGGAAGCCCCAGAGAAGCCCCAGTGCGTGAGAAAGGACATTCAGGGCGAAGTTTAAGGAGCGGAATGTAGCTTTGTAAGTCCTTCGTTCAAACTACCCCCTCACGCACACACACACAGAAATAAACAAAAAAAGAATCCTGCTTACGGTACCTACCCGCAGCCCGTAGGAGAACCAGAACCAAACAATGTCTAAAGCGTATGCAAAATATAACAAAGCCAGTTCAAATACACGTCAAGATTTCTTATTTCCCCTACGTGGCCTTTGTCACAAGCAAGGTTTCTAGTTCAGAAGTGGTCGGGGCGATCTCTTCCGCTAATGGATACTAGACATGATCCGTTTTAAATCCGGGAGCAGCTGCTCTTTTGTATACCATGCGAGTTCCTCCACGTGTGAATAATATCTCGAGAAGCGCGTGTGTGTGCGAAAGAGAGTAATGGCCTCTTGCTTGCCAGTACACGAAAATATATAGAGCAAGAAAACAAAATACCTTTTTTTTAGAACCAGAGATTTGAAGAAGCACTCTAAGTTTCTATTCATCAGGGACCAGTGGAGATGTTTCGGGTAAAATAGCGATTGCGACACTGCTGGAAATTTGGCAGCTAGAAAAATCGATGATCCCATGATGCAGCACTCAGAGATGGCTGATGCTGTACAGGGAACCCGTTTTTTCCTCTTCGATACTTGTGAAAATGTGAAATATAGGTTGGAAGTAGTTCATTGTTATGAGCGCTAAAGATGTAAGTCTTCACACATTAAAGTAATCAGAAAAGTAGCGGTTACTTCTTAATGTCCAATTACTTTTGCTGTCGAGTGATCAAGTAATCTATTCGAATACTTTTTAGCCAAGAGTAATAGTTGTTGTAATCGATTACTTTTTTTTCAGTAACGTGTACAAGACTGCCTACGAATCGCGTGGAGGCTCTGCTGCTCTAGGCAGTCGGGCTTGGATACAGTTTTGGGTCTATTAGACAGCGCCTGGATAATGGATGCTTCTTGGGCGAGCTGGAGATTAATGATAGGCAGCAGTGAGGAAGAAAAAAAGACTGATGAAATGGCACCATTTCATTAGTAACGAAGCCGTTTTATCCTATCTACAGAATGACCGCAAAGGCTCACGCCGTCTGAGCTTTCAAAAGGAGTGGGACATTGAAATAGTCTAATCGGGGCCTCAGAGATGCCCCCAAGAATTTAGCCTAAAAGCTTCCCACTTTGAAGACTATTGTTTTGCGCACTGTTTTTTGTTACTGTAGTGAACATTTTTAAACAGTGTTTTTAGTTTAAAGTGTCCGTTTCTTGGCCTAAGTGTTTTTATTATTCGTGACATTCTTACACGTGCAAATTCCTTTACATGCTCAAGTTGTCATGACCACTCTACAAATTTAGCCAATTTCTTTTCTTTTTTTCTTTTTCAGGAAATCTAATCCAAACATAACCGAATTTATGAAGAAGGTCAAGATTACAGGACAGTATCAGAAGCTCGAGGAATATTATATTCAAAAGTAAGTTCTTTCCTTCAAATCAATACGTGTTTAATGGTGTTTTATGAGATAAATTAACAAACTTATTTTCTCGTAAAAAATTACACTCGCGTTAGACAGAGTACAAAGAGGCTAATAATGTTATCGCTGAGCAATATATATATGTGTTTTCTTTTTACCATAGGCTGTTGAAGATTGTTCAAGGGTTGCGCAAGAGTTACATTGTCTGGCAAGAAGTCGTTGATAACGGCGTTCAGGTGCGTTATCTTTTCTTATAATATTTTTTGTCTCTGTTGTGTCCGGGGTGGATGCGTTTCATTTTTCGAAAATATGAGGCAAGATTAAGCTTTTACGACAATGGAAAGTAAATGCCAGAGCAATCGAAGGTGGTTGCTTTATTTTGCTATTACTCCAGTTAACCTATAATTGTGAGGTTACAGGTAATTAAAAAGGTCGTGTGGGACTTGTCTTTTTACAAAGAACATAAAGAAAATCTTGAGTATTTTTCAAAACAGGTACTACAGTAAGAGCACTGCGCGTGAGAAGAAATAATTAACAAGTCGGCTAAAACCCACAAAATTAGACTTCAAACTCAAGTTAGCTACAAAAACCAGTGACTGCGATATGTGTGCGTTTCTAAATATTGCATAACCTTCATATAAAGTCAGTGCCAGTTTTTTTAATAATAACACTTTATTTACTCAAAAGAAAAATGTTCACAAGATAGCGTACTAGCCCATGAAAGCAGAAATGCTTGTGTGTGGGTCCAGGCAGGAAACAAAACACTGTATACATCATTACACATAAGAAAGAACTGTGCACTATGCCAACGATTACCACTTTTTATCCACAGGTAGTACCAGGAAGCGTTTGACACCATTCTTTGACGTTTAAGGCCCGTTCACACTCTTGCAATTGAGCAAGACCGAGAGAGACCAGACCGGTTTTGGAGCCTTTAAGCTTAAAAAGCTTATTTTATAATAATTACTTGTTATTGCTAGATATTTATGAAATTGATCGAATGAGAGTATGCCTAGTGCCTTCATTTTTTCTTTTAGTTCTAAGCCATCATGGACTGAACCATATATGAAACGTTAATCGCAATATGCTTTATCTATTTATTTATTTATTTATTTGTTTATTGCATACCGCAGACCTTTCAAGGTCCAAGCAGGGTGGGTGGCAAAGATAAATAACGCCACAAAAAAACAATGGCCGCACATAAAACAAGAAAACAATGGTGGGAAATCTGCTGCACAGAATACAAGATATACAAAAAATACACACATCAAAACCCGGCAAATCACAAAGCCGTAACAATGACCCATCAAAATACACGATGGCAAAAATTACAGTGAAACTTCAAGGCTGAAAGCTCCATCAAAATATTCATTGACAAAATACTACAATGAAACTATTAAGCGGCGAGGGTCACTGGGACAGATAAAAGGATTCCAATGATGATTCAAAATCAGGTGATGAAAAGAGTTCCAGGGGCAATGAATTCCACTCGTTTAGTGTCCTTGGAAAATATGAAAACTTAAATGTGTTTGTACCCTATCAATTCCCTTTCTTTGTACCCTGAACAATTCCCGTATATCGTTATTCCATAGCTTAAGATTGACTCTCTTAGAGCTCTGAAAATGGACTGCCGTAATTTTACACAGCATGCACTTTTTAGTTTGTCTATATACACCGATACTAAACGGTGCTTTCTAGTAATATGTTCTAACTGCTGTTTCGAAAGTGCGGGCTCATTAAAAAAACATACCTAAATATTTGACTGAAGACTCATATGGTAGTGGCTTACATCTGCAGATTGACTTATCTTGCTCATGAAGGTGGAGATATACGTTTTTCTTAAGTTCAATGCGCTTATGAGGGTTACGGAAACATACTAGCTTATTTTTATTGGTATTTAGAAAGATCTCGTTACTCGAGAATCAATCTATTAATAAGTTTATCTCACTCTGAAAAAGAGGAACTCCTTGCACGTAGTCATAATGTGGTAATAAGAAAACGGTATCGTCGGCATACTGAAACATTCTAGACCGCAACGGGATTGATCGTTTACACAATCGGAAAAATCTTCTAGCAGTGAAATTGTACTTTTTTGTTTTCTGAAGCCATACTGCGCTTCATTTAATAACGAACATTTGTCGAGAAATTCATTCATTTATTTTTGAACCCATTTCTCTAGGATGTGAGCGATCACAGGTAATATGGATATGGGTCTATAATTTCCAACATCTTTCTTATTATCAGTTTTAAAAAGCGGCCTTACTATTATACTTTTAGCCCTTCTGGTATTTCACCCGTTGTCAAAAAGCCATTGATGATTTTAAGTAGCATCAGTTTTACCTTTGAATAGTTGTACTTTAAATCCCGTACACGAATTTCATCTATCCCAGGTACCTTTGTAATTGACATTGAATTCATTATATCGAACAATTCTTGTTCGTGTAGTTCTGCTAAGTGTGCCGAATTTGAGCAGTCGATCTGCTCAGCTGGATTTGTTTTTTGCATATGGCAATATATTCTGCTTTAAGGCTTTTACAGTACTAACAAAACTGCTATTGAAGGACTGGGCCAGTTCCGCGTAGTTGTCTATACCGGGGAAAATATTTCTTATTGTATCGTCAATATTATTTTTCCTTTTTCTAGCAATTAACTAATTTACGAGATCCCATGTTTTCCTTGAATTTCCTGCTGAAGCCAATCCGTCTAAGTAATGCTTCTTCTTCGATAATCGAATTTTAGCTGTTACTTTATTTCGGGGTGCACGAAATTCATTTTTAAGATCTTTATCTTTGGGAGTTTGCTTGCACCGTTGCCATAATTTATCTTTTTGATGACATAGTTCTAATATATTGTGATTAATCCACACAATTTCTGGTTTTATTTTTTAGCTTTGTAATCATGAAAGAGGTTTCATAAATATCTTTAAATTTATTTACGAGCAAATTGTAACTAGTGATATGATTATACATTCCCGATGAATTCCAATCATAAGTGCTAATTACACGGTCCATATTTTTATCATCTGAGACTGTTTTAAGCTTTACGTTGGTAAACTTTAAGTTTTATGGTTGGACGTGTAATTGGCTGGGTTTTCTCCTAATACTGGAAAGGCTATGCAATAATGATCCACGCCTTTTTGTTTAATTACTGGAGGAACTAATGTCAGATTTCCAAGTCTAGTTATTATATGGTCATTACATGTCTTAGTTATTTTACAACCGTAATAGCCTTCTCTCGTGTAATCTAGCATTATGTTCTCTAGACCAAAGTAAGAAAGAACATCTAAGTAATTAGAAACTCCGTATTTTGTTTCTTCCGGAATATCAACATTAAAATCACCGGCTAGTAGAATATGCTGGTTGTTATTAAATTGGCGAAGTAGAACAGAAAATTCCTCACGGAACATGTTTATATTTAAATGAGGCGGTTAATAAACCGCGCGCACAATATATGAAGACGAAGATTTACGAATCGAGACTGCGCAAACTTCTGCGTGAAGCATGAATACGTTTATCCTATCTGAAAAGCAGTCATTTTTTACAAACATCAAGAAACCACCTCCCCTTTTTTCTTCACAGCACAGACAATACGAATGGAAACCAGCTAGCGTAAAGTCCGAGCACGCTTTTTTCGTCCAATATAATTTGGCTCAATATTAATACATCCAGCGATGCCAGGCTTCCAGACAATATAACTAAAAGTGCGTCCCAATGCCTGCGCAAGCTTCGAACATTTACATGCAGAAAGCTAAGCTCTACATTACAGCAGATACTTTCCGTCTGCACACGCGCCCTATAAAAGCCCCATTCGCGTATGGAGTCGAGAGTGCTCTCCATTGCTACGTCAATTTAGTTGAATCTCTTTCACTTTCAATACGGATGGCAGCAGCGCCTTCTTTCTGCCGTACAAATATCTTGCCGCTTCTCATCCACGCAAACTACGCCTTTGCTCTTGCACATTCCCTAGTTTGCCAAAGTAGACCTTTCAGTGTTTTTGGTTAAATTCTCGTTAATGTAAATATTTTCATTTCTTAGTGTCACTCGCTTTGTCATGCGCAGGTCCCTCGTTTTTTTTTCCCGCAAACCTGATAAGAACCGGTGGTATTTCCCCTTCCCTCGCCCTGAGTTGGTGAGCAGCCTCAATGTCCTCTGCCCCTGGTTCCGGAAGGTCGAGCTTGGCAGACAGGTTTTTCAGAACGTCTAATACATTCTCGTGGGGTTGCTGTACGCTTCCATGGATCTCTACTTTTTTCCGTCTGGAGTACTGTTCTGCGTTCTCTACTGCTGTTTTCAGGTCTCGAATTCGAACATCCTTTTCCGCCACCCTTGGTTCTAGTTCTCCCGTCCTCTTTGTTAGTTCTGTTGTTGTTGCGCTCTCTGTCTAATCTTCGCAGAAGTCCATCATACTTTGCTGACAGGTTGGTCATGGCGGTGTCTATAGCGTCGACTGTTTTCCCGTGGTGATCTAACTTCGCCATTATAGTATCACCTTTTCCTGCCTGAGTCTCCAAAGTTTTTTCAATGCATTTTATTCTGCCCAAGACGTCCATAAGTCCTTTGCTAATGTCGTCATTTTGAGCTGCTCTCTTGTCCAAATTCCTCTCGCGAGTGCTCAGTGACGCCGGCTGCGTCGGCGACCCCCCATCTGCGGTCTGTTGGTCGTCAACCACGGTGGACTGACGGGTTGCATGGAGTGTGCATGTATTGCACTTCCATGCGGTACGACGGCGACAGAGCCATCAGAGCTTTCCTGGTCTCGCCTGAGCCCTTTCCAGTATAATGGGCGTGCTGACATTGTGAACACGCCGCAACAATCCCATTCAGCGGCACAGGCTTAAGAAACGCGATGAATTCACTCTGCGTCGCCATGGCTTTTTTATTTTTTCCAAACATTTGCGACAAGCGGTGCTAGTTCACTCATTTGTTTTCACGTGGGGAAATCATCCTCATAATTTGCGCCGTGTGCACATTTCTCGAGGAGTGCAAAACATAAGAACGGCGGAAAAACAAAAAATAAATAATGGAGGTAGGAGCGCCTTACGGTTGTAAGCTACTGTTAGCGTTATCATACAGCATTTTAACTAATGACACCACTGCCAGCAACGAAAGAGCACCGTGTCTTCAGAAAACTTTCGTAGTATTTGAAAACGGTATAGCTTTAGCGATCTCTTCGTTGGCTTGCGGGATGTTTAGATAAGCTTGAAAATATTCATCTTATTGGTGCGCCTAAAGTTTAAAATAGGAGCATTACGGAGGGTTAATTCCGTAAATAATTTATGTGACATTAAGTTTCTGCTCCGTTCTTTATGCACATCATTTTCAGCGTGCTAATTTAAATCCACTTTCCACCTGGAAATCAACACAAATAACGGTGACTTAACACGCACATTGCTCTAGGAATTATTGCACTATTATAGCCATTGCGCCTTTTTTGCGTATATATGTAGTAAAGCAAATTTCCATTATGGCTTTTGAGCACATAATATTTAAACGGGCCGCTGAAATGGAGTAATCTATACGACATATGCGCCGCTTTCAAAGATGCTATGGTTTACATCGGTCATTATTTCCTGTTCAGTTTTTTCCTTCTTTTACTCCACAATTGGCGACCTTTGGCATAATCAAACTCGATTCCCTGGGGACTCCAGGTGGCTCCAGACACGGTGGTCCACGTGTGGAAGCAGCCCCAGGAGACGGAGCTGACGATGGTGACTGCGCGCGGATACCAGGCCCTGCTCTCCTCCTGCTGGTACCTGGACTACATATCATACGGCAGCGACTGGAAGAAGTACTACGTCTGCGACCCTCAGCGCTTCGACGGTGGGCAGCCACACGCTCTCTCGCGCGAACATTCATTCCTTTCTGGGTAGCAAAGTCGTAATGCCGACGTCAGCTACAAGACGCCAAGTCTGGCACAGACTACTCGAGTGATGTGCGAACGTTTGACTGGGACTCGTATTCTGACGGATTGAACAGCGATAGCGAGCTCCTCTATACTCATAAAGCCTGGCCGTTCGACGACGGAGCCATAGAGTGTCCGGTCGCAGGTGTGGAGTGCGAGGATATGGTAGCACAGAGCATAAAACAGCCATTTTTCGGAGATCCTGGACGTCGGCGCACAGCTTTTGCAGCGGCTTGCACCTGAAACACACTTCTCGTGTGTTTCAGGTCTGCTGCGAGACGCCGCAGCAGGGCGCCAGTCAGGTGGCTCTCCGATCATGCTTTATTTGTTGCTTCACCTTTTCCATTTCGGCGGCCGCTTCTCGTTGAAATCTGCCAGGCTTCGTCAGTATATTGGAGGCAATGAAACAGCAATCCCGGCCAAACGCGGAAGCCATGTTCCTTGTGTGACCCGCTCTGTTTTTAGGAAGGTGACAATCCGGAAATACGGCCTCGTCGTTTAGGAGCTGTGGAATCCTTATGAACATATCGCCATTGCGTCACAACTTCAATGCCTCGGTGCAGATTTTTAGACAGCTCAGTAATTTCATACATAGATTGCGTTGCCAACACTATTTAAACGTTTGCGTGGTTCTTATTTCATAAATATGGTTTTAATTTAATCGAGCAATATTCGCCTCAAGATCGAACCGTGTCGCCACCGTGCGGCCGAAATTGGAAACGTGCGAAAGCGGGGATACCGCCGTGCGTCGTCTGCTACGGGCGCACGCTCAGAAGCATGGATCTCGACGACGCAAGCCCGTTTCAGGCTGAGCTTGACATTCCTTATTAAATGTTTTGTGTTTTTGTTGCCGTTTTCTTCTTACTAAAGGTTGTTTTGTATCGTATTCCATGCGTAGAAATTCAGCAAAGCGATTATTATTAAGTCGTAAGCTTCCGTAATCTTAGTGTGTTGGTCTGTATACAATCGCTGGTCCCACGTATTTTTGTTATCTCGCACGAACCGTGGCATTCATAAAGCATTAAATGTTGAGTGGGTTTGTAGTTTGATTAGAAAATTAACCCGACTGATCGCTATCCTTTAATAAACTGATCAATCAATGAATCTGTATGTTGATTTTTCGCCGGTCATATTGCGTGAAAGACGTTAAAACTACATATTTTTTACTGGTTTTACTATGTCATAAATGGCATATTGCATTCCCATTCTAAACTTCAAGTTGTGAGTCCTATCATAAATATGAACACGGGAAGCCTTTCAAAATGAAGTATTTTTAAAGTTATTATTTAAACAGTATGATCACCCTTGATGAAATGACAAGCACGCTGAAGTGGTTTACCATGCAAGCTATTGTAACGAAAGAAATAAGGACGTCAAAAATATTAAAGCAGGCATTTTTACTCCTTGTTGACTTTCTCCAGCACAAGACTCCAATCAACCGGCAAAAAAAAAAATTCAATAAAGCATTACTTGAATAATCTGAAAGTTAATCGATGAACTGAACAGTACCGATATACGTTAGGTGAGGGCGGAGGGTGATCGGAAAGTCTCGTGAAGGTCGCTAGCCCTCATCAGTAAAAGAGTATCACTGCGGCCGATGCTGTCTGTGTCGTGGTGCGCGTTGTTTGTTGGGGTTGCAGAGTCTACTGTGTTTGAACACGAGATTATTTAGCCAGAAATTTATAGCATTAGCCCCTTGACATCCGCGGCCCTCACCAAGAAAATTGAAACGGGTGAATCCACACTACCGAGAAAAGCATTTAATAACAGGAACATTGCTGCGTTGCTCGGTCACACCCGTTAATTACAGTCACGGCAGATATATTAGAACAGTTTTTTGCACTTGTTTCAGTTGTCCTGCCAACGTGCAGTTTGCAGATCTTAAAGGGGTACTCCACCGATTTTTTGAGCTACCTCAACTAACTATAATTTCTGACTCCCCGGCCTTTACTCTCTCCGGTATGCTATTTAGAATCGCGAAATTCATAATAGTTATTGCGAAATCGGCAAATGAAAATGATGCAAAAACCAACATTCAGATATACGCGCGCTTTGCAGGGTCGTGACGTCAGTGGCAGGCAGGCTTGCCAGTCGAGCAAGCAGCCAAAAAATAGAATATGCCAATCATTTGTTCCGTGCTGGAGCGCGGGTACTGCAGCGAGCTTCCCAAGCATTCATTTGACACCATGAAACTGCTTCGAATCAGTTTAAAACAAAATCTACAGCTCAAAGAGTGAACTCCTGCCTTCCACTGACGTCACTTTTTCATTGTTGCCAGTAGAGACTTCGAGCTTGAAAAACACGGTGAGGACCAAAACTGTAAATTCAATAACTTCGCGAAAAAACAATATTTTGACCTAATATTTGGGATACTATTTTCGCCATGTTTGTTGGTTAGTTTAGCAAAATTTCAAGCCAATCGGAGACAATGAAAAAATCGGTGGAGTAGCCCTTTAACTAGAAGAGACATTCTCTCCTCATCGCAACGCAGTAGATTTGTTCAGACTCCAAAAAACTTACCCACACTATGGCACAGTAAAAGAGCAGAGTAACTCAATGGCATGGTAATTTCCAATACAGCGCTAACTTATCTTCATTCTAAATATTTTTATTTCTGCAAAAGCTAGAAGTTAAGAAAAAGCATAGAAGCTGCGATTTCACAGCCCACAGTACCAGTATTATGTCATCTGGGTTGGAATTTTTTTTTTAATTGCCACGTTGATGAACCGATACATCCATTTTAAAAGAAACAACTATTTAACATAAATATTCCAGTTCAGCGGGCAACAGGCATCAGTCGTAATGATCCCTGCTTTCCAACGTCTGCCTAGAGCAGACGACGCACCCACAGAAGCGATTATATAAATTTAGGCCGCACGCTGGCAACACGATTCGGTCTTCACCGAAGCGCCGAACAGTACCACATCCTTTTCCGCTAGAATGTTTTTCCCACCGATAGTATGCGACAAAATAAACGCAAGAATCTACGCCGTCTCGCGCGCGAACGTGGAGAGCCTATGGGGCGGCCGTTCTCCTATCCCCGCTTTGATGATGATGATAGCGCGACCGTAGCGCTACCTCTAGGTCGATCTCGAGGCCAATGTGGACATTGGACGTAGGCGAGAGTAGGTAATGGGTTGCGTACGCGAGTTTGACATGAAGAAAACGACGAGAGTACGAGGCTGCGTATTCATAATAACCGGACCTTCTAAAACATTATTCTAAATATTCGTGCAAACACATGGTCTCGGCAAAGAAATATCTCTGTAGTCTAGTAAAGCACTGCCTTTTTTTCACACGAACGACACCACATAACATAATTAATTATGATGTGAGGTGAACGAAATAAAAGGCTGCCTGACGACCTTCCTGAAGAACTCTTCAGGAAGGTCGTCAGGCAGCCCTTTTTTTCGCAGAAAAAAAGCTCACCTTGATGAAGGCTGCCAGCGTCGCTGCTCACTACGAGACATCTTTAATTTGAACTTTCTTTCTAGTACTGAATAGAAAATGGTACCATGCCTCATTGTTTCTTCGTTCATATATTTATATAGCTGAAAAACGTGGCAATGAAAATCCCAGTATAAATATTCACAAAAAATTCAACGCACACATAAACGTCCAAACGGTAAAAAATCTCAAACTATGAAAGTATACGATTGAAAATTTTAGTCGCCTCTATAATAAGGTGAACTTTCAGAGCGATTCAAAATAAATTATACTACATTCATATTTTGTGAGTTACCAAGCGTAAGTTCTAACACTGAACAAACTTCTTACTGTTTGCGTAAGGTAGTGGCCTCTTTGCGAATTATAATTTTACGAATATAAAGCGACCGTAACTTGGTATTTTTTGTTCCTAACTAACAGGCAAACATAGAATCTTCAAATAAGAAAACAACCACAGAGTGCTATCTAAATCTTCTTTACCTAAATGTTCAAACCGAGTTTAATGTTTAAATTATTCAGAAGAGCCAAAACTATTGATACGGAACGTGACTGGCAATTGTACGAAGACGGTGCTCGATTGTGCAAGAATGACATTAAGAAAGCAAAGCAACGTTATTTTAATTATGATTTGCAGAGCATATTGAAAGCTAATCGCAAGAAGTTTTGGCAAATAGTTAATCCCAAAGAAAAAACATTTTTTTTTAATACAGAAACGTGACGGAGCACTGTCTGCTCCTGAGTCAGCTATGGCACATAACGCACGTTTTGGTAAAGTGTTCACTAACGAGCTGCCTTTGTCAGAGAAGCACACTGTCTACACACTTGCGAATACGGAAACGAATGATATAATTGTTAGTATCGATGTAGTTATCAGTCTCATTAGCCGTGTATGAAGCCCTGGGCTTGACGGGGTGTGTTCAAAGCCGCTGAAATTAAGAAACAAACATCACGAGTGTTCTACTTGTCAGCCTATTCTAGGGGCCTCTTGATACCGGCCTTCCGGCAATCTTAAATTGGCAATTGTAATTCAAATTTATATGTTTGAAAATCGCTACAGTGTATCAAATTATTGGCCAATATTACTGACGTCTGTTTCTCGCAAATTTTTAGAACATATAATTTATCCACCTATAATGAAACACATCGTTTCTGAATTCTAATAATATACTTCTTTCTAAACAGCATGGTTTTGAACGTGGCCTTTTATGTGAATCACAGCTTTTTGTACTGGTAAACGATTTGCATGCCAGCATACTCATCCTCCCAAACTGACGCAGTTTTATTGAATTTTCGATAGTGTCCCTCACAGCCGTTTTATTAAAAAAATTACATTCTCTAAAAATAAACGCCATTGTAATTACCTTGATTATTCATTTCCTGAACGATCGGAAACAATACGTTTCTGTAAACGGCATTAGCTCAGACCCCATAAGGTTAAATCAGTAGTTTCTCAGGAATCAGATCTTGGCCC